TGGTTGAATTTCGAAAACGAAGGTTTAGTTCTTGTATCCGTTTGTGTATAGTTGGTCTCAAATTGGTTAGTGTTACCATAATTTATTTATTGTAATGTTTATTTATTTATTATTTGTATAATCCGGTTAATCATAATATTTTATGTCTTATTCAATATGAATAAGACATACAAAGATTGCTGGGAATATTTTCGAAAAAATAAAAAATCTGCTACCTGCAGGTGTTCACAGTTTTAAAAGAGTGGAAATTATGGATGAATCAAGTACTAGTAATTCTAGTTTTAAATTCGTCAAACCATATCGGTATTCAGATGACAACTAATTATTACACACCCAACTTTGTCACAAATAATATCAAAAAATTGGCAGCTGTTGATCTATTTTCATTTACTCAAATCACTAAAAGTGAATTTATAAGACTTAGAGAAGACACATGCTTAAAGAATTTAGTCTCCCCTGCAATTCATTGGATGTAATGTAATTAATGATGAGCTATTATACGCAGAAAAAAGAAGAATTAATCAAAAAAATAAAAACACTAAGCTTAAATAACAAAAAAGATTCAGCATATCTATTGATGAATGGACGAATGTAAACAATAAAAAATATGAGGATATACATATGCATTACAGTAGCAAGGAATCTACCAATCTAGGGTTAATACCAATTCATGGAAGCTGTACAGCCAAAAAGACTTTAGAACTACTCAATGTAAAACTAAATTCTTTTAGTCTTTCACTACAAGAAGACGTTCTAGCTGTTGTGAGTGCCTGTTATGCAAAAATTTGGACGACTCCCTCCGGCATACCAACAGTTGTGTTATAATTATGGGGTACATTTGCTGTTTTAAAAATACTCTGATGATACCCAATCTGGTGACTCAGACGAGAACAATAGACTTTTAGAAAATGAAAATAAAGATTCAGCCGATTAAGATTCCGATGTCAAAACACTAGAAATCTCTAATGTTCAACTGCGACCAACAATCAGAAAAACATTTCACAGCAATTCGAAAAATAGTAAAAATATTTCAAAATTCGCCGATAAAGAATGATATTCTGCAGAAATATGTAGAGGAAGAAGATTTTTGAGAGTATGAAATTCTATTAAAAGAGCACTGTCTGAAATAAATGTAGATTACATGGTAGATAAATAGATAAATACATTAAATATCTAAATATATTAAAATTGCCGAAATTTTATTAACAAAATTAGAGACTATAAGAATTACAATAGAAAATCTTAGTAGAGAAGATTCGACATTATTAACTGCTGAAGGTGTTCTTAAATTCTTATTTAAAACTTCAGAAAAACTGAATTCTGAATTAAATAATGAGTTACTTGTTATTAAAGAAGAAATATCTAGAAGACGAGATAAGATTGTTGTATCCCTTATGAAATATCCATAAACATAACCCAGAATCCTTGCAAAAAGATTCAGAAGATACATTTTTCTATTTAACATCCAAGACAGATATGTCTAAAATAACAAAACAAATTCTAAACAGACTTTTCGTAAAATATAACAATGATTTAAAAATAGCGAAAAACTTTCAGATTCTCAGAATGAGGAACTATCACTGAAAAAACAATTGGAATTAGAAATTGCAGATAACCTTCAAGAATTTTGTGTCACGAATTTAGCGTCAGAAGAAAATAAATTCCGGACTCTGCAAAGGAATTCTAGATTTTTGAGTCCATTGTAAAAAGGACATCCAATCTGCAGCAACCTTTGGATGTTCTACATGGAATATTAGCCAACAATCACACAAAATGAAAAAAATTTGTCTACACCTACAGATTTTGTCAGGAGTATAGATTGTCTGATTCTACATTAGACGCATTATGCTTTTTACAAAGTCATTTCAAAACAAAAACGCGATATTTCATTTTATAAAAGTTTGGTTTTAAGTAAATAAATTTATCGGTTATATTTAGCATCTATTCTTTCCTTGTTTTTAAAGTTATGTATATATTGGACAGGAAGAAACATTGAGTTAATGTTTTTTTGTCTGCGATAAATATTATCAACGATGTTCCAAATATCATAAGTTTTCCAATATTCTTCTATTTTATTAAAAATTCTAGAGAATTCTCGAGAAATATAGTTTTATTCCTCATTTCTCGAGAAATGGAAACTGTTGAGAAATCAGGAACACTACTGTAGTGTTTGTGTCTGACAAATTCCGAAATAGGCGGAGAAAGGCCGACTGTCGCGTCGAAGTTGGTGATCAATCCAAAAGGTAAAAGATTTTACCTTTAACAGAAAACTACCCATTTTTTAAAAATCCATGACAAACGTCACCTATTACTGGCATTGACGAAGGTTTTATTGACTGTTTATGCTTTCCAGCAATATGTGCGGTAGGCACAGCTGCTTTTGTCAGTTTATATCCGTGGTATCCCATGTCATCGAGCGTTCATAAAATATTAATTCATGGAGCAAATATTATAAAAAATGCAGTTTATTTTCTTCAGATCCAGTGATATCATCATGATCAAAGAACACATCAAGTATTTGGAGAAAAGAAACCAGACGAAATGAAAATATGGCTAATTTATTAATAGATTCAGAAATATTAGCATTGCATAATCCTTTTGAAAATGACACTGATCGCGATTCTGACAACTTTTCAATATCAGAAGACACGGATACAGATTAGGATTCGTGTATAACAATTATTAAAATAATAATTTCGTGTAATTTATTACCACAGCAACTCATGGAATTTTCTTAAAATGTAATCCCTGCAGTATTATACATTTTATTATAACTTTCTCACATCTGATGTAAGTTTAGTTCAATTTTTTTTAAATTATTAATATGGAAGTTTTTTTGACTATTAATACCTCTAAGTTCAAATTCCACGAAGTTGCATCTTTTCTTGAAAATGATAACGAAAAGTAAACAAAATTTTTCTCGCGTTCCAAATCATCATGAATTTGAAAATTGAAGTCATCTCTTTATAACGGCACCATAAAAATTGACATAGGAAGGTGTCTTTGATGAGTATGACTTTTTATTAACTAGAATTTCTGTTGGGCTCACTGTGCGCCATCCCGTGGCAATATTGCTCGAGACGCGAGTCATAAATACATAATCAAATATTTCTATTTTTACATTTTTTATAATAATATTGTATCATTTTATAAAATCTTGGTTTCTGTTTTTTCACAATAAATATTCAGCTGCTATTTATTTGTCTTCAATCAATGTCTATGTGTAATGTCCATATTAAGATTTTAGGTGTGATTGATGGAAAGTTAATGGAAGATTTTTGTATTCAAAACGCAGTTACTCGTATGCAAATCTATGATAAAAGTTAAGGTAGAAACATACTAATGTCAGGTCACGTGAAATCATAGGAATAAAATCAGTCCTTCATGAACAGCGTGACGTGATTCTGATCTATTTCTAACAGATTTGAAATAATAGAAACTACGCAGGCTCACACTGATCAAATGTCACATGATTTCACGTGACGTGCATTTAGTATGTTTCTACTTTTATTGCCATTAACAT